AGAGAGAGAGAGAGAGAGAGAGAAGGTGCCCGGTGTATTATAGGGGGGTCCTCCGGCAGACTAGGCCTAAGTCAGCCTAACTAGGGGCTGGTACAAGGCAAGCCTGAGCCAGCCCTAACTATAAGCTTTATCAAAGAGGAAAGTCTTAAGTCTGGTCTTAAATGTGGAGACATTTGGTCTCTGGAAGTTAGCCACTTGGCTGCGCTCGGCTGCTGTAAGTATCTAAGCATTTGCTCTATGGGTAATTTCATTCAGTGGAAAAAGAGCTTTTTTGGCTTGATGCACCACTGAGCTACTTTCATAGGAATGAACAGGGTCTTACCTCTAACACTGTATCCAGGTCCCTGTATACATCCATGGTCTCATACTGTGGCTAAAGGTTTCCTTGCTGCATCAGTATCTGACACCAAGAGCCACTGACCAAGTGTCGGTATTTGACCAGTTGGGAGTGAGCCCAAGTTGAGCCAACATGTTCAGGTGGGTTAAATGTATCTAATGTTGCTAATGAGCAACTTTCATACCAACGAGCAGGGCCCCGCCTCCAACGCTGTTTTCAGTTCTCTTTATACATCTATTTTGGACTCATGCTTCTAAGCCTCGAGGATGGCATTCTGGCTGTTGCCATCTTGTATTTTTGGTGCCAAAAGTGACCAAATTTGGTGTGGCGATGCATCATAGAATACCACCTTAACATGGGGGTCTATGGAGATCAATTTGTTCCTGGAGTCAGCCTCAAGTGACCATTAGAGGAACTGCATTTTTTTTTGCACTTCCAAGTGGCATCATTTTTCAGCCCCGGAGGTTTCCATCAGTGGTGGCTGCTGGTCTTTCAAACAGGGGAAGCTCACTTTAAGTTTACATTATAAAATCTGTCATATTGTAGCGAAGCAGTAAATTATAAAAGAAACATTTCATTGAAGCCATTTTTCAACCACACTCATGCCATAGAACCACAGCAAAACACACCTCAAAGATTTTCAGATGTGTTAAAGGTTGAAAATGAGCTATATCACTCATGGAAATAAGGAACTCCGGACGGCACTCTGTAAGAGGACTCCACTCACAAATATCTGCATGGGACTGAGCTCGAAATGTGACGATGCCAGTGTGTATTTCAAAAGCGCTGTCAATCACAAAGGGGTTCAGCCTTTTAGACAATTCCTCCAATCATCATGCATACACCGAGTGTCCTGTCCCACCTACAGCTCCATTAGGTCCCAGGGAAGCTGAGCCTCCCTGGAAGTGACCATTTATCCAATGACCGTCTTGCTTTGCTGCATGAAAAAAACCTGCTCAGCACTGTCTCATAGGAATGCTTGGAGGCTCCGTGTCCACCGTGCTGACACGAGAATGTATGACAGGGAGGTTGCGTTTGAAAACCGGTGATAAATGTTTGAACATCATAGTCATGATGTTAAATGCATCCTAGCGCACTTTTAATGCAGTGTAAATTCTTATTTTAATGTAAATTCAATAGTACATATTTGACCATTTCTTCTATGAAATTTTAGGGGAAGTTCAGCCTCCCTTGTTGTCTCAGAGCAATTGCCCCTGGTTTCCTCTTAGTTTAAAGACATCAAGGAAAATATCACCACACTGTTGAGAATATCACTGTGGTAGAGAGATACAAAGTCTATTTGATTTATTGGAATTTAATTCATGAATCAATGTTAATATTACAGGGAACTGAACAACAACTGTACAAACTCATGACAGTTTCTCTAACTTTTAGGCCACTGCTGCCCACTGTTTTGTCCTATAGCAAAAAAACCCTTCAGTTTTCTCTGCACAGCCTAACTCTGATCAGCTGATTACTCATACTGACAACAAACAGCACGTGGCCATCACTATAACAATCATCCATTACAGTACTGATTACAGTAGAAGCAACCAAACACAAAAAATGTCCTCACTCTACATATACTGTACCTCATCTTGTGACTGTTTGTTTTTAGATTGCATTGTGACAAAATGCCCCAGAAATCTTTGGGTGATAAGGAACGAAACAATACAGCTGACTACTAAGGTGAATATACATAAAGGAGGAAGTAAGGAAAGGGGAAATGACTAATAAATCCATTTCACAGGGAAATAGGCAGAGAGGTGTCTGGTGTATTAGCAAGAAGAGGGCAAGCACTCAGCATGCCGAGCTAATCACAGCGTTTTGCACTTCTCTCTCCCGATACAGGAACAAATGAAGAGAGCAATGACTAATGATTATGCTTTTATATATAGCGTCTCAATAAATATGCAATCATAGTATAGTTTTTTAAGTCTTCACTCTTGTGGAGCAATACACTTGTGGAAATTAGAGCTCCACAGGGGGTGGACATTTTCTCACAAGAACAATTTGACTATTTAATGGAATTCAGTTTCAGAAACTTAAAGGAGGACGTAGTTCTTTAGGGACCCTTCAGGATGAAAGAAGACTAGATCCACAGCAAATAACAGTATCACAGAGATCTTTTAACACCTGGAAAATCTTAAAACATATAAAAGAGCTATTTTGCATTAGGTAGCATGTTCCATCACTATGGCATATATCTATGAATGTGCTATGAACTACCATTCAAAATTTTGAAATAGGGGAGAGTATGGTCGGCTGGAAAATGGGAATGGTTGGGACAGTGCCTTATTGACTTACTGCATGAACTTCATGTAGGCCTACATTTCAACCCCAGAGCATATTCCAAATGTGTACAGTTCAGCTTTTTAACCTTTTTATTAACTCTCAAGTTGTTGTTATTTACCATTTTTTAACACAAACTCAATAGCCTACATAAACCTATAGGCTACACGTAGCCTATGATAACCACATTGAGCTGATATGGGCCACTAAAATGAAAACTACAGCTAAAAAACACACTGGGGCTACGGCTGTGTGGTATGTCACGTGACATGCGTCAAGTGCCGCCCATAGCACACACTAGACGCGTCGCACTGCAGGTTTTCAACAAGCGACCACACAAAGTTATTACAATTCTTACTGAAAGATCTGTATACCTTCCACCTTGGCATTAGCATTAGCATTAAACTTGATTTCTCACCTGAAGAGCCAATCTCCAGAGCTATGACTCACTAGGCAATATCTTTTTGACCACTGTCTTCATAAACACAGGATTGTGGATCATTTAGATTGGGATATTTCTCGATGTCAACCATGAGTCTCTTGTCATCCAGTCTTTGTCACACATGAGACATCAGCAGCAACAGAGTTCACTTTATGCATCCATGGTGAGGAGAGGAGTTGAGCTGCCATAGGAGCAGAGAAGAAGAGCTGCTATGGAAGGTGGTATGTTCAAGCAGAGAGCCAGTGGAGGAAAAATTCATTTCATTTCAGGGGCGGCGAGGCTGGTAATAGGATAGAAATGTAAAGTGGCCACATGGAGCATCCAGGAGTGCCGATGCACATCCATCTACCGCCAGTGAGGGGTTATACATTGAAAATAATGGGGGCGTATTCTTTGACACGTGGCATTCAGCACCGGTGTGTTTTGGCCCTAAGAAGCCAAAGTCCATTTTTTTATTAATTTATGAAAATAAAATATTTTTGTAAAAAGAAATGTTTGAGCAGGTGACAACGTTGGATAAAATGTTAAAATCTGACTTTTTTTTTAATATAAATGATTTTTCTTAGCCCAGAACAATGTTTCCCAACTTACCCTAACCCTTGTCCCCACTGTCATGGAAACACATTCTCATTCCAAACTCGTCACATATCGGTGTTTGGTCACGGAGTTTCCACATCCAGATATGACATGCAAGGTACCCCGGGTGTGTTGGCTGTTGACGTTCTGGGACGCCATGTCAAAAAAAAATGCTTTCTGTGTGATTGGTGCCTAACTAATTTATGGTGAAGGTAGGATTGTGCACTTTCCACCTTATCCTCTGATAAGTTAAGAACACTCCCTTAAAGAGCGGCTCACATTCGGAGGTTTACTGGCTGCTTACAGTATACCCACCTATCAGCCAAGAACCCGTTGGAATATATAGGAGGGTATATCTACTTCCTCCTCTGTCACCTACCCATCTACCTAGTACCATGGCCTCCTAATACCCACCAAATCATATTTGTCCTTTGTGGGGACATGACATTGAGGCCTTTATCTTAAACACCATGCATGCAGTATATTTGACTGTGAGAAGGACATCTCAGGCTTTCTGGAGATGTAACACACATGGCGGTGTGACCAACAGAACATATATTTTGTCTTTTCAAAAAGGAAGGAACTGTAGCAAATATGTTTTATGGCAGAAAGGGAGATAAGTGATTAAATCTGTAGATATATTTCTGTTCTTCAATACAAGGGACATGTTACAAAACATTGATAAATAACATTTCTGAGAAAAAAAAAGTTTCCTACAATTACTAATATATGAAAAATAAAAATCAAAGTAAAATGAAATAAAACAAAAATCTAAATATCCATTTTTTTTTCCCCTCTGGGTCTCAGGAGCATAGACACAGCACACTCACCTCACTAATCCAGTTGTCATTTCAGTTTCAGTGTGACAATGGCGCCCCGTAGTGGACAGTACCCGCCGCTGGGTGATCGTTAGTCTCCGACTTGAACCGTATTTATACGAAAGAGGCCGAGTTGAAGCGGACCTGTCCGGAACATCCGGCTCTAGCGTCTCAACATAAACAGCAATGGCGGAGGCAGCAGCAGCGTCTACGGCGGCTTCACCAGTAACAGGAGGTTGGACCAAACACGTAACCTGCAGGTAAGACAAGACACAGGACTATTGAAATATCGAAGATGGTAATATCGCCTATCGTTTGACGCTAAAATAGCGGTGATACGCTGGCTGACGACCGACTGACAACAGCGTCTTCCGAGGGTCGGCTCAGCTGATGGCTTGCTAACGTTAGCTGTTACTAGCTAGACTCCTGTGTTGTTATGTTGACTGTGTTATGGTCATATCAAACTGGTGTGGTAGGCTGGCGGCTAGCTTGCTAGCTACATTGTCAACGAGTAACTCGGCTTGCACTAATGCCTCACTATAATGTCGGACTACGATGAACAACTGTCATAGAAGAGAGTGATAAATGCCTTCACTAGCTGTAACGTTACACTTCGACTCTAGCCAATGTTAAAACCAAAGAGTTGGTTGATGAGTTTAAATTAACTATAGACACCAACAGCAGTCAGAGAACCTGCTAGGAGCTACAGCCGGACTACATTAGCTAACGTTAGAAGTATAATTGTTGTTGTGGCCGTGTTAAGATTAGCTTGATGCGTTATTATTATGAAAGTGAAAGAGGACCATCACACACAGTTGTCTTATTTGGATGTAGCTTTTCAAACAGACATGCGGATTTGAAAGTGAACACATGTTTTCCGTTAAAACTCTAGTATGTCAGGAAATTATCCATTAACCAGACAACTCTGTTTCTGTTTTGTGTTTTCAGATATTTCCTGCACGGTCTTTGCAAAGAAGGAGACAACTGTCGGTACTCCCATGATTTAACCAACAGCAAACCTGCAGCTATGATTTGCAAGTTCTTTCAGAAAGGAAACTGTGTGTTTGGGGACCGTTGCAGGTAAAGACACAACTGAAATTTGGGTTATTATATATTCAAATGCTAGAAAATAAGTCAAATGTGGATGTAGCTGAAAAGGCTTGGATGTTTGTTCTCAGCTTGCGTGTTCAAAGTCAGCTGCCCCAGCCTAATAAAGCGCTCCCAGTTGTCTGGTCATTATAACTTCCTTTCTAAAACTGGCCTTGCTCTCGGCCAGATGACAGCACAGCAACTTTGCTGGCAGGGCTTCTCAGAAGTGTTGCAGCCTGCTCCTCAAGTGGATCTGACACCCGAGACTGCTGCTTCCTAATGTCAACATGTTGTTGGTCTGTGTTTGTGGCAACTCCAAGGAACTAGAATCACTCATCTGAGGCTTTTCGGTATTGCTCTGCCAGATGAAATTGTGTATGAAGGAATATGCATTTGAATTTTTGTCTTGAGTGTTTGTGGAGCTAATATCTGCCAGTGTAAGCTTCACTCTGGCTGTCTCATCATAGGTCTTTTCTTTAATGCAAGGGATCCTGGCTGATTTTATCTGAACATTGAAATATCCATTTAGTATTTTAAAAGATGTAGATAAGACTGGTATGCATCTGAATGTGATTAATGGAAGTGTTTTTTTGTTGTAAAGGACCACATCACTGGGTTGCAACCAAGGGGCAGAAAAATAAAGCCAACACTGAGGTGCCATAAACGGCAGTTCTTTGAATGGCCACTTGAGGCTGACTCCAGAATCCAGCCAATCCCAGTATAACCTTGTGTTAAAATGCCCAACTTTACAGCAGAAATAAACATGTTTACAGCCTGGTACAAAAAACTGTTAGGGCCTTTTTATAGCTTATTTCAACATTTGTGACTACTGTACAGGGAGTGAAGCTTTATATAACTCCATTCACATTTTTCAAAGCTTAAAATTATTATAAGGGTGGGAAAGCTCGATCCTTCACAGCTCCAACCTCTTGGCTAAACATGGTCACTTCTGCCTACATGACGACGGCTGAAATGCCACAAACCACTGAGTAACATCCCAGTAGCTACGTCGATTATTTTTAAGTCTATGGCTGCAGCTAACAATTATTGTCATTATTAATTCATCTGCAAATGTTGTCATCAGTAATTTGTTTTTAAAATGTCTAAAAATAGTAAGTAATGCATCACAATTTTCAAGATACCAAGTTCAAATATATTGATGTACAAATAAACCCAAAGAACTTAAGTTAACTATCAGAGGAGGGTATGAAAACCAGCAAATATTCACATTTGAGAGGTTGGAACCAGTGAACTTTTGGTCCTTTTGCTTAAAAATTTGACCTATCGATGTAATCAGTCATCAAAATGAGTGCCTAATAATTATGCGTTGAATGGCTAATCAATACTTGACCAATCCTTTCAGCTCTACATTTTCAAGGCATGTTGTAGCCTATTTTATGAAAATGAAATTGCAGAAACCTGAAACTTAACTATCCATTTAGTATATCCACAGGATATCCCGTTAAAATAAATGTTAAACATGACGTTGTCATACACTTCATCTTCTATATGCTGTGTGTATTTGGGTGCACATTATTAAAATTCAGTTTGGAGCTTAGCCATGTGATTTCCCATAATCACATCAGTTATGCATTTAAAAAAAATATAAATCCATCATAATGTTGCCTCAGGTTGTCAGAGTGTTTGATTTTATCAACTAGGTCTGGCCAGTATATCGATATTTAATAGATATGGTGATATAACACTAGGTATCGTTGTTTATTTTGGATATTGTAATATGTTTATGTATTACCAGACTGTTCCAGCTGCTCTATTATTTGCCTTTACCATAATATAGTCACAAAATCAATATTGAGGTATTTAGTCAAAAATATTGTGATATTTCTCAGCCTATCAATAGTTAAAAATGGTTAAGGAGACATTTTGTTTCTAAACACATCTTAGCTCTCTCATGGATGCATGCTGATTTTCACACTGGATGGCGCTTTGAAGATGGCGAGCAGGATTTATTTGTCGTAAATGTGCTCACACATGCAGTGGTATGGTCCTTTGAGGAGCGGATTAAGCTCCCAGTCTGTTGCCAGGCATGAATGTACCCAGACAGCAGCAGCCAGCTTGTATAGACAGTGTCTGCTCCATGTCTGGCTTCAGGAGCATCCCCATAGTTACCGAGGCACTAGGAAGACCAGCCCAGCAGCAGCAGGGGCACATCAGTTGCTCACATGCTTGATAATTATTCTTCAACAGTCTGCTTATGCTTATTGCCTGTAGGAAGCCTTTGGTTGGGCGTGTATGGCTCTGAGCTGCCGTTGTTGATGTTTTGTTGTGTTGATAAGTCACATTCCTCCATCCTTGTGATGGAGCTGCAGTGAGGAGGGTGTCCTCATTATTTCTGTGATCCCGTGGGGCCGTGCACCCTGTATTAAGAGTCCGGAGAAAGGCTCTCACTGTGGGGGTTTATTATGGTTGAATTCCCTGGGCTCTGTCTATTGTGATGGGCTCTGTCTCGCTCTCTCACTCTGCCTCTGTGTCTCTCTCCCCCTCTCTCTCTCCCCTGCAACCCCCAGGGCCAGACAGAGTGCATTGCAGCCTGCATGGCAATTGCATAACGCTCTCTGTTTCCCTCCTGCTCTCTTTCCCTGAGCTGCCCCCCCTCCTCCTGTGCTGTTGCTGGGTTCCCCAGGTTCATTCTGCTGCAGCACCCTCCTCTCTCATTTATTTATGCATAGCTGTAGCAGCTCTCCTCCCCCTCCCCTCCCCTCCCCGCTCATCCAGCGCTCCAGTAGCTCTTTGGGAACAGACTGGTTAACAGTGTGTACTGATGGAGCTCACTATCATAGAGGAGGCTGGAGGAGAGATAGGTCAGGTGTTCCTTTTTATATGGCTGTGTGCACGGGCTGTCATGGCCTGTTAGTTGTGCTGTATTGTAGCTGTGGAGTTGACTTGTTTGCTATGAGGCCACTCTGACAGACAGTTTATGTACACAGCTGAGGGTCTATCATTGGGCTGCACCACATCATACTGTAATTGTGATGTAGATTCATACCTCTATGCTATCACATTCCTGCATGACAATGGTTCTGCTGTTTTGATATTAGCAGGAGATGAGTTGCATTTAAGTACTTGTTAGTTCTCCTCTGCTGGATATACAAGTGGTATAAGTCTGTGACAAACACCACATGACAAACTGTAATCAAAGAGGTCAAAAAAAACAAATCTCCCTTGTGTGATGGAAATGAAAGACTACCATAAAGTCACAAACAGTATCCAGAGCTTTTCGTCAACAGCAGACATAATTTTGCCTTTTTCCTGATTAATGCAAACTCAAAACTTCCTCCATGTTTGCTAGATATTTATCCAATGCTTGTTGATGACTGTCAGGAGCACACACTTTTATTTTTGCCGAGATTACAGAGGTAGTATTTTAGAATGACAGATGAACTGCTTTTAGTCAGAGCATCAGATGGAGAAAGCCTCTGTGCAATAGAGATCTTGCTCCATCCAGAACCCTACTGGACCCCTAATCCTTCCCATCCCCCACCCTCAACCTGCTGCTAATGCTGGCACTATACTCCAAATAGAATCACATTTGCTGTCCTCCTAACATGCAACATGGCAGGCTTCAGACCAAAATGCAGCTTGACATTTTATGCGATTGCTGCAGTATGTATAAGTCATAGCTTGTCACCAAAGCTTGTTAGTTCCCACACTTGTTCACTGACCCCAGTGCAAGTGGTCAACTACTACTTCAAGTTCTGCATTGCCATATTTTGCACAGTTAAAGAGATACTGTAGTTGGAAATTAAGATCTTGGATTGCAAATTCATTCAACAGTGCTCAGTGAAATTGTATTAGTGTTGCACAGTATACCGGTACTAAAATAGTACCGCGGTACTAGAGTATTCCAAACGGTACTATACTGCATTTGGAAAATACCGGTACTTTGAAATTGATTCAGTTCATTAATTTAGTTAATTTATTTTACTCAATTATGCACACAAACGCCTTTCTTGTTCCTATTGGAGCTCAGATTGCTTAAGTGGTGTGTATGACAACACCTGTATCAACATTCGCAGCTGGCTCACGTGAAATAAGACAAGAGAAAGTCTGAATCGCAAAGGGAGACAACACGAGACAACACCAACTTAGTGAAACATTTGAGCAACCAAACTGTGACATCCGTACTGAGGTACTTACCGAACCATGATTTTTTTGTACCATTACTCCCCTACTATTTATTGTTCTAAAGGTTTGTATCCAAAAGGACTTTTCCTTAGGAAAAAGTACCGAAAAGTATGGAAATTCATATTGGTATCAGTACCGAAACAAAGATTTTGGTATCGTGACAACACTAAATTGTATAAAGAGAATTAAAAACAATGCACATAGCCTAAATGTTGCCTGTCTGTATTTTTGTTGATATTGCCATTTATTCATAGGGCACATACAAATTAAAGTGGAGGGGCAGAAAAGACAGCCCCCTCTTGCCCCCTCATGATGCTGGGTCTGTGTTAATATGCAATTAAGTTTTGGCTCAGACTACAGTGGTGCTGCTTGTTCCACTGAAGAAAGACTCACTTTCATCTATTTCTACACAGTGTTTGACAGAAAGCCTTGTCAGTTGTGTGCGTGTGCGTGTGTGTGTGTGTTTAACCAACGTTAAACTATGATGAGGCAAATTAAATGTAATATTAATCTAATAAAACTAATTCATCATCCTTAGATCAACATCTACTGGCACAACCCTACAGGTTACTCACAGCGTTAACTTAATTGATAATGTAACCAGTACTGCCTTGGCTTATAAGGAAAGGAGAGATGTAAAGTGGGACTTTTACTTCTGCGTCAAATCAACACCGTACCTATGGCGTAAGCTCTGCGTTGACACAGATAAGAGCCGTTAAATTGTGAAGATATTAAAGCCCCCACAAAATACCATTTTAAGTTTTGAGTGTGATTTATCCTGGCTTCATATGATTAAAGGAAATTTTCGCTAGTCACTAGGCTAATTTATACAATGTAAAATGTCA